GGAGATAGGACAAGAGCAGCACTAAAGGGTGAGGCCAGTGCTGGCAGTGCTCCAGGCCCATTGATGTGAGAGGGCTATGTGAACAAGAAGAGACTGCAGCATCCAACTGCCACTCAGCAGGAGCACAGGCTTATGTATGCCGCACAGCGGACGCCAGTGTTCCTGCTCCAAGGTGCTGTCCATATACACCCCCACTCACATACTGGAGGAGTATGGCACTGCTGCATGAACACAATGTCATACTGTATGGCATTGTGTGTATGACCCCTACACTCACTGGCCTGAACATCCGATGAACCACTTATAGAAGGCTCAATTGTTTAGTCTCAGACATGCTCTCAAGCTATGAGTTCTGTAATTTAGTGGCAAAGGGGCATTCTTGAGGTGGAAATTTCGAAAGCTAGAAATTTGATCCCTCCTTGATCCCTTGACTTAAGTCTTAACCTATTTCATGCTACTAAGAAGCTTTTTTAAAGGGGGGTAAGAAACAGTGAATAATCTGATGAGAAATAGTTCACTTTTTTACCAACACATAATATGAAATGGTTTGGCTGTCCATTCCACGCACAACAAATGACCCCCTCAGGTCCAAAGTGAATGCTCAAGCACAGAGGGAAAGTGAATTCTCAGTGTGCTGCCAAACACCTATATCTTTGAATTTTGAAGAAGCATTTTTGAGCATATGCAGTAACACTCCTGACTTGAATCCTGGATGAGCCTTGCACTTTGGCAGGAAATGGCAAACAAGAAACAAGATGGCATACTTTCAGTGAATCTTGGCTGAGAGAGTAAGCCAGCGGGTGGAAAAAGGAGGGCATGAGGGAAACCAGGGCCAACACTGCAAAAACAAGCTGGATTGCCAGGTGGCATGTGGCGCACAAGGGTTGTTTTGTCCATGAGAGCCAGTGCTTGCTCTCTCTCTCTCTCGCTGTCCATGAGTGTCAAGTCTGTAGGAGGCAGCGGCAGAGAGGACCTAGGGCAATATATGAGAAAGCTGGGATATCCACCTGAGGCTACTGAGGTGCCCTGCCTATCACACACTCACGCATCATTCGACCTGTCCACTGCAATTACTGTCATTCTGCAGTGTGCGATGTCACTGTAGCACCATTTTACAACAAAACTTAACTTCAACAGTAGGGTTAGAACTAAAGATTATTTTAGTAGTCCACTAGTCAGAGATAATATTTTTGGTTAGTTAAATGCTTATTTTTCTATAGTACAATGAGACTTTTAACAAACAAAGATTAAAATGTGGTGACTGAATTCTTCTGGATACATATTTTTATGTTTAAAGGTGGTCTGAAAAAAAAAGCTCTTTCTCTCTCTTTTTTTGGCATGTGGTTAAGAAATTATCCAGATGATTTTTGGAATTGTCAGCGTATCAGCTATTGGCCTTCAAACTCCAGCAGAGGTCAATATTTTGTTTTGGTCGATCTTTTGCCTAAAAACTACACACAAAGCTTTATTTTAACACTTTAATGTGAAGAGATAATTACACAAAACATGACTACACTGCTCTCTTAAAGGTTTGTGGTAAAAAGGGTTGTGTAGTAAATTTGTATTAGCCTACATAATTTGGGGAAAATAACCCAAATCGGCTAAACATATCAGCTCAAAAGTTTCAGCAGGGTTTTTCGGCCATTAGTTTCTCTGGAGTATAAACAATCAGCGTTAGCCATGAAAAAACTCATATCGGTAGATAAAAATATTGATAAAAATATCAATTACAGTTATTATAATAGTTGACTGGTCATGATTATTCAGAGTCATTGTTGCAGCTCTGTTTAACAGCTCATAACTGTAAAAAGCAGAAGCAAACGACAGCACAGCCTGAGCTCTTTAGTGCAGCCCTGAGATTGGTTAAGTGTTGTCAAGCGTGGTGGTAGTTAGAGGATGGACATGAATGCTCAATCAGACTGCAGAGGTTTCCAGTTTCTACTGTAGCATAAGCTGCTAATTGCAGGAGAGGAAAAGAGACAAGTGAGGATGAATAGATTCTGAATTGAAAATGTGAGCCATATGCAGCAGACAGACAGAAACAGAACAATATGGTGAGAAAATGACTGGATACCACATGTAGTAGAGTAGGAGGATGAAAAGCAGTTGCATTGCTGAAGACTTCCCCTCACACCAACCCCTAAAATAGTAGCACAATTGCAATACAGCAACAGTTCACCAATGTTTAGAGAAGGGATTTTCTACTATAATCACTCGAGAGGGTCATGTTGTCTACCCCATTCAGAAGACATTATTGCTATATATCACATCACTTTTCAACTTGCCCATAACCAGCTGATAATGGACTGTAGTCTTCTTCTCATATGAACATGCTATATCACTAATGGTAATAAAAAATGCATACAGGGAAGGAAAAGGAATTACATTTTTAATCTGAATCAATGCACATGGAATAGATAAATGGTCTAGAGGTAATTAAAGGTGCACTATTTATCTTTTCTGGTGGAGGGTTTGCCATCTGATGTTATGGCCTAACCTGGTCAGATGAGTTCTTGCTATATTTGTGAGTTCACAAACTCCCCATTTTAGAAAAAAGAAGAGTATTTTGTTTTTGAAAACCATGCAGAGATAAGTGCTTTGTGCATTTGTTGACGGGAAAAGTGCTTTTCTCTCAAATGGATTTAACAAAATTTTGATTTGTCGGCTTGTTCAGCATCAACTAATCCTCTACAAATAATCTGGACGTTCCACCTTTTCCTAATTGCTTTCATCGAGAGCTGCCTCAGATTGTAAATAAATTTAAAACTCAATTCTAAATGCTAAGTGCTAAATATATCAGTCTGACAGAAGCCAGGTTAGTTATGGCCTGGATATATGTTTATTGTCATCTGCCGACACTCATGGACTAAATCTTGATATTATAGTTTTAGAGTGTTATCATGGAGCATTGTCCTGACTTGTATTTGTTATAAAAGGATTTTAATCCTTTTTTTTAATTTTATTTTGTTTAATTTTTTTTAACTAAGTCTGTCACATAACTATTGTTATATTTCTTTAGAAATATATCATGCTGCAAAATGTGCTATTTTGACAGGCCTACTAACTCTTTAACCTTTTTAAAACACGGTGCCTTAAAAATGAACTTAATTACTCATAACAAATATAAATTACCTCTTTGTTTACATATTCCTTGTCAACAAAACATAGCTAGTCTATTGTAAATGTTCTTTGCTCTCAATGATTGTTCATCATTTCCAAGAACAGGTGCAAGGCTCCAAAATCACGAATAAACCCAATGTCGATAATAAACCCATTTGAAATTTAGTTTGTGTAACATATCATGGGGTCTGTGCTACTTTCATATTATCAATGCTTTGTCTTACAATAGGCCTATATTACAAATTTTTAACATAGTCCTGACAGTTTAGGATTATTGTCTTCATGAATTATCAAATCAATCTGGGTGAACCAAAACAATGCAAATGTGGTGAGTAGAACAGATGGGACTAAGCTGGCTGCCTTGTGTGTGTAACTGTGGGCATTTGTGCAGTGCTGCCAATTCATCTGACCTTGATAATGGGGACAAAATAAGATTCAGCACCACGGACAGCACCAAAGCAAATAACACTATTAATATACTGTGGGAGAACAAGTTTACTCATTACTCAAAATAAAATGTATGCCAGACCAAGCATCTGGTGATAAATGCAGGGCACTGTAGTCCATTGGCCAAGGACAAAGCAGAAAACAACCTTAATTGATGTTTCAGAATGGGATACTGCCAGGTGTAGCTTGTAGTAAATACTTTTGATATCTGCCAGAAGAATTAGACTCCTAATAGGAATGGTAATGCTGAACAATTTGGTTACATTTTCAAGGACTGGATTGTTGCCAAAAATACTGCATAAACATGCAAAGCAGTGTTTAGATGCATTTAAGTACAAAACAAATGCCTTGTCTTGGTTTGTTAGTATTTATACACTAAATTGGCACAGACATGGACTCAAACAGGATCTGTTCATTCAGAAGTAAATGCTCACTGCTCAAACAAAAAATACTTCACAAGTCCACAATCCTATAAAACTCACTGTACAAAAATCATTTGCATTTATCAAGGGTTGCCAGTGCTATTGTCTAATCTTACCCTTTATAAATGGATATTTGCAAAACTAAAAACTAATGTGGAACATAAAACAACAAGAAAACTATACCAACAGTCTTCTTTCTTTCTCAGTCATTAGTTATATTGAACTATATCAGTTTTTTTTTTTTTTTTTTTTTTGCATATTGTATATTATTATACCATAACATAGATTGTCACCAAGTAATACAATGTTTGTGGGTGGAAAATTAACAAATCCCCACCATGCCAGTTTGAGTTTTCCCAATCAATATCCATTAAGCTTTCAACTGATTTAAGAGGCCTACAACAGACTAATTTGAAAATACAGGAGAAGCTTGAATTACCTGCCACAAAATTAAGCTCTACTTGTCAAATGGATGAAGCATTAATCAAAGACAAACCACAGGCATTTCAGGACACAGGGATCATGGTGAGTACTGCCAAGGACAGGAGAAGATGGCTTTCTTATATCATAAACAGAATGAGAATCAATGTTCCTGCAAAGCATTCACATGGGTTCTTAACTAAAGTACCTTTGAAATTTAATCTGTTCTGGCAGAAACATCTGCACTAGCTTATTTGCTCTAGTCAATATGGCCAAAATAAGTATCCAAAAAGACTTGGGCGTCAAAGCTGCAAGTGATGCAGTGATTTTTAAAAAATCAGTTCAGCGTACAAATCCTTCATAAATACTGACAAAAAATTTAAAATGGCCTATTCACAAAAGTTAATAATTTGGTAGTCAATATGTAGCCTGGGCTACATATGTGGCTGCCTAGGCTTCCCATAGGCAAAAGCAATCTCATCATAATAACCTTTAAGGACCTAGATAGGTCAGCCTTATCTGGCACGTGAATCTGTTTTTTTTTTTTTTTTTTCCCCCTTCATGGTGACTGTTGTTCTTTTGTGGACTTACTCTGCTTTCCGGGCTATTCCCACGGAGCGGCAGAGCGTGGTGGGGGTCTGCGGGACCAGGGACTTGCAGCACGGGCTCCTCTTGTCCTCCTCGTGCGAGTCAGGACTGGCCTGGTTTCCTTTAGGCGACTGGGGCGAGGTTGGCACGAGCTGCAGCTGCTGAGGATGATGATGGGAGGCGGGAGGAGCAGCGGCAGGGGCGGTCTGCGGATGATGGTGATGATGATGGTGGTGCTGCTGCGGCGGCTGTGCCACGGGCTGGTGATGAGTCGAGGAGGCTTTGCTAGCTCCGGCCGCGTGCTGGTGCAGGTGCCCCGGTGCTTGGGGACTGGCGCTGCGGTGAGAGGTTGTGGTGGTCGCGGGGTGATGATGGTGGTGATGTTGGTGGGCCGTGGGCGCTGGTGGCTGGGGCACGTAGTGGTGAGGGTCCCGCAGTTGACGGTTCTCGCCGATGAGATCTTCCACCTTCCGCTCAAGCTCGTCGATACGCTGGCGCTGCGTCTGGATGAGGCTCTGCTGGTTCTGCACGATAGTAGTCAGCTCCTTCAGGTAGAGGACGGCTTTCATGGGGTTATCCAGCAGACTCTCCATCACTAAAACCGGGGCTGTGTTGCTCGCGTAACCCGCCGAGAGGTGCCTGCTTGGGAAACGGAAGTAGCACTGTGAGTGACCCAGCGGCTCTGATGCTATACGCTCACCGTGCGCGGGCAAGGCGGTCAGGATACACCTCTCTCTCTCATACTGCTGCTGAGCCAGGCGGGCATGAGCACAGCCGAACGAGGGGGCAGGGCCGTAGTGAACAAGTGACGCAAGTACGCACGGGAAACGCTCAAGGTTGTTTGATGCGCTCTAAATGTAATGTTTTTTCACTTGACAACTCCATCTTGATGAACCTAGATAAAGTTCTACTTATCTCAATGCTTTAAAGGTGCACTAGCCTATATAACTTGGGTTTACGTGGGATATGCTATTGCTTTGCCTGGAATGAGCATTTGGGCATACAACTGTAAGCCTACATGTAATGACGGAGGAGGCAGTGGGGGCCAGTGGAGGCTACAGTATTTCATCCTACTCTCCAAAAAGTGCTATGTATAACATTTCTAGATGAGACAAGATGGTTAGGGTTAACCACACCAGGCCATGTTATAGTTTTTGGATGTATGGGTTTATACCTATTGCAATATAGCCTAGAAGCAAGCAGATAATGAGTAGAAATGGCCCCAGGATAGATCCCTGAGGAAACCCCACAGTTTAAGGTAATTTGGGCACAGATCTACTTACATAATTCAATAAAGTAGTTCTTATCTTCAGACTTTGTGTCAATGTGCATGTCAATTTTCACCTTAAAAAGCAGCTTCATTGCTATAGCTCAAATGAGTTATTCATTAGGAGAAAGATAGCAAGATAACACTTAACTCCATGTGAACCGATATAGCCCATAGATGCCTTACTCTATTTATCATTAATAGTCTTCTTCACAAACTTAAGTTTGTGGAAAGTAAAACTGGGCATGAACCAACCAATGCTTAAGATGGACCTGTTTTAGAAGTGGGGTCACCAACCTTTAACAGCAATTATCTTACAGATGCACAAGGGTCAAACTGTCTTGTGACAAGAACAATGTACACAATAGATGTCTATGTCTATTATAACACTTGGTCAAGGGCACTTGAACATGAATTACTTTTAGATACATAAATAAGAAGAAAAGAGTAATTAATGTCAGCTAAAGATTAATTACTTAGAAAGGCCTTCTTCATTAATGACCCTGAACAAGATAGCAATTAATTGGCAGAACATAATGTGACCTTTTTAAGTAGTTTAAGAAAAAATAGACCCTTGAAAAAATGCTTAATACGTATATTTATGAATCTATACATACTAATTCTACTAACTCTTATACTATAAGAGTTACATAACTTCATATAACTTAATACATATATAACTTAATACTTATATAGTGATATTTTTTATAAAAAATATAATAATAATAATAATAATAATAATAATAATAATAATAATAATAATAATAATAATAATGCATTGGTATTGTATAGTGCTTTTCCAGACACTCAAACTCACTTTACAATTTCGTGCATTATTCATTCATTCCATACCTTAGTGTTAAGCTAAGTCAGTCTGCCCAGGGGCAGACTGACTACCACCAACAGTCACACACACACACACACACACGCACACACCATATTCAATAGGCAATGGGTAAAATGTTTTGCCTAAAGACAACAACCTTTGCCACAGGCACCTCATATTCCCAGAGGTCTCCTATCCAAGCCCCTGCTTATCTTCTGAGATCTGATGAGATCACACTTTAACAAGAAGGTTTGGCCACATATATCATTGTCCAGAGAAACTGAACACAGGGAATAGGACTACAGACTTTATCAGAGGCTGTTAGTTTGCTCTATTACATTAACCCCTACAGGAGTGAATCATTGCAATCAGTGTTAACAGGATTGGATTGATTGTGGGTCCTGCTCCAGAGCTTTCATGGACTGTCCATTATATATTGTTCATGTTAAGTCTGACTTATTGTAATCATTCATTAGAAAATATGAATGCTTGACATGTTCGTTGCTTGAAGTTACAGCACAATGATATTATGTTTAGGTTTAATTTTGAATCTCATGCACCATTATTATGTGTCCACACATTTTTTTATATATATATATTTTTTCCTCTTAATACAGGAGGCAGATTTTTGCACATCAGTGCATGCAATGTTTAAGTCCCCTGAATAAGGTGGGGAAGAGAGCAAAGCTGCATTGTTAGCTCCAAACAGAGAACCGGTGAGAAAAGAAACAGGATTTACTTCATGCTGATTAATTACCATGTCATTATAACAAGCTGTGAGCACTATGCATACTACCAGAGTCAGGAGCCGATTGGTCAAACAAATCGAATGAGAGCATGTCACATCTAAAATGTAATACATATACTCTAAAAAACAAACATACTTTGAAAACTGCCCTGATTAAAACGTTTTACTTATTTAATATTATAACTTTATTTGAAAATAAAGTGGTACAGCAAATTACACTCTAAACTGTGCATTTTGTTGATTAAGGTTACAGAATAACATGAAGTTCAGTCTCTCAAATTTAGTGGATTTGTACTGGTGATCATTAGTCATGCAACTACCCCGACCAGTACACACTTCAAGAATAAAGATAAATACAACAAAATATTAATAAAATAATAAAGAAAAACATGAAACTGCCACACACATAAACCAAATTATCAATACATGCAGTGTTTTGTGAATTCATGCTCACATTATGAAACAGCGTAAATTTAAAACATGGTCCAGATGCATATCAGAACTTATGACAGGACTGCCATCTAGTGGTGTATATGAAGTGCATCATGTTGGGACGTCAATGGCAAACGTGAGGACCTTAACGTAAGCAACGCGCAACCAAAAAGCAATAAAAAAAGAGAGATTAAAGTAAAAAAAAATAAAATAAAAATAAAAAAAAATAAAATGACACCCTCTTCTTCAAAATTACTGCTACTCCATTTTTCTTTCCATTTACCAGTTTGGGGAAATTGAAACCTTTCTTTTTGGCTTCTATGGATGCCTGGACAACAAAGAAGTGTTATTTGTTTTATTAAAGTTTAATTGAGAGAAAGTTCAGTCTTTTACAAATGTCAATCACACATAAAATGCATAAACATTTTCACAATTATAGAAAAAAGAAATCACTCAGCTTTGTTTTAATTCAAAGATACAAGTCACTTTCCCAAAAGTCACACCCCCAAATTAAATTGATGAAAATGTAATGATTTGGATCGATATGCAGAGAGCTACTCACAACATAACATTAAAGGTGCACTATGTCATTTTTATGGTGATGGGAGCTTGCTTTTCCATGTATAACCTGTAACTTGGCCTGTTGTAGTCAGTTGCTTGTCTCCATAAAGACAGATAAGTTTAAGGCCATACTGTAGAGCTTTCAACTAAAGCAATTACAAATATCCATGGAGACAAGCATGCTTTAAACCCCCTTCACAATGCACCTTTATGTTTTACTACAAAAACAGAATTAACTGAGTCAACACTGTCACACTGCCAAACCCTTCTATGCAATAATACATTTCTTTTGCCGTTTTGATGGTGATTTTTGAAAAGCAGCTGATCTGGCTGGATTAACTTGTGAACGAGTTGCTTCAAACCTAAATGCTATATCAGATGTAAATGTGTGCGTTGATGCAAAAGAATCCACTGATCTTATTGAGGATGCTGTAGTTGGACTTCTTTGCAAAGGGTTTGGTGATCTTGGTGAATATGTGGGGACAGGATTAGACGGCCTTGTAGCAAATGTAGCAGATGAACTTGAAGCAGATGTAGTGGCCATATTTGTCATCAAACTACTAGAGTTTGAGCGTGTAATGGCTGGATTTTTTACTGAAGCATTTGCCGATAGAGGTGCAGATGTAGTGGCCATATTTGTCATCAAACTACTAGAGTTTGAGGGTGTAATGGATGCCTTTTTTACTGAAGCATTTGCCGATAGAGGTGCAGGTGTAGTGGTCAGATTTGTCACCAAAACACCGGGGGATATGCCTGAGCGTGTAATGGCTGGATTTGTTACTGAAGCTTTTGTTGAATCCTGGTGAGGATGTAGTAGCCGGAACTGTCACCAAAGGATTCAGGGACACCGTTGAGGGTACAGATGTCACAGAGACTGTAACTGCAGTTGTTGGTGGTACTACTGTTACAGCTGCTGGTTGGTGGTAGGTAGTTTGTTGGGCCCTCTCTCTGTATTGAAGCACATACTCAGGATAGATCTGCTGCTTCTCAAAAACGACAAAGATGGAGGGGTTCATGACGTCGTCCACACAGCTGTCGTAAAGATTCACGTTACTTCCATCTTTAGAGGGAGGTCTTCTATATTCGGAGCTGCCTCTGGTGTATTCTCCAATCAAAACCCGAGACACAAACATGAATCGATCTAAAGAGGTGCCAGTGTAGCTGTGAGAGTACTTGGCATCTCGTGCAAAATAACTTCCTAAAAGGGAGAAAGGTTAAGTTGAAGATCATAATCTACCAACAATTAACAATTTTGGATGTGATTCTAGAGTAAAAAGCTCATTCACTATGGGATGTGTAGGTGAATTTGTGATAGCTAAGTCTCATAGTAGAAATGACAACATTAAGTATTGCAATGGAAACTTCAGAAATTCTTCAGAGACTGACCTTGGCCATAAATTGTCCCATTGACTCCACAGACTCTCCAATCAAAGTTAGTCGCACATATGGTTTCTACATGTGAAGGATCGGTCCCATGAAAAAGCTTTTTCTCAGCCACTGGCTGTCCATTATTCTTGTCCTTCATTTGATTCTTTTGTCTTAAAAGAAGAAACAAATGTGTAAGCACAGAAGAATTATTATTATTTCAGCTAACTTAAATACATACAGCTGAAAGGCTTCCCAGACAGCTTTGTTTTGAATCCTTTCAATTTTCAGAATATCAAATCCTTTCATGGTTTGACAGAAAAGATCGTGGATCTCTTTATATTCAGCAAGGGATGGCTGGAGACTGATGCACTATGAAAATGACACATTTTATTATATGAACATTACATTATTAGAGAAATTAATAATTATATAATATATTTAACTCCATATAAATATGTGTACCCTATGTTCAGTTGGAGAAATTTGTGTTTTGTCCCAGTAGTCTGGTACAACAGCAGTCGTGTTTGCTGTACGTTTCCTACAATAAATAAATAAAAATTGTATAAAAATACCTCATAGCCACACTCATATAAGCACTGAGTTGTACCTCTTTGTCGGGACTTCAGCTGCAGAGACAAACTGAGGGCGTCTTCTCACATGCCTCTTAGTCCCATACTTTATGTTGATTTGAATCATGTCTTAGAAAAAATATAAAGGTTCATATATTTGATTACACATAACAGAAATAAATGGGCACATTTAAAATTGATGATTTATACCTTGAAAATTGAGTTCATATGACTGTGAGCCAGCTTTAAATTGGATCACAGCTTTGTCATTTTTCACATACATTTCCTCCAGGTATTTACTGGTGACACTGGCCAACTGATGCACACTTGTCTACAAGATAAGATAAAATAAGATAAGTTCCACTATATTTTGTATATATTCGTTTTGTATATTTTAACATAGGACTGTAATACATATTTTTAAAGTTCTTTTTACAATTCAGCACTAGGCAAGGCAAGTTTATTTGTATAATACAATTCATACACAAAGTAATTCAAATTGCTTTACTTAATGAGAAATACATTAAAATCACAATACAAACAGATCAAAACATAAATAGTCACCATAGACTTAAAAAGAGAGAGAGAGAGAGAAACATTAAATGAGAGAAGAGTGCAAAATGAAAGCCTTTCAGTCATATGCAGCTAAATAGAAATGTTTTGAGCCTGGGTTTAAACAGCGTCATAGTAGAGGCTTGTCTCACATGTTCAGGAAGACTGTTCTAGGTTTTAGTTGCATGAATCTGAAACACTGACTTCCCATGTTTAGTGCTGACTCTGGGCACCAGCAGGAGGCCGGTCCCTGAGGTCCACAGAGTGCGAGATGGTTCATATGGCACTAACATGTCAGAGATGTACCTTGGTCATTGGCCATGGACAGACTTGTACACAAGCAGATGAGCTTTAAATTCTATTCTCGAGCCAGAGGAAGCCAGTGCAGAGACCTGAGCACAGGACTTATGTGTTTGTATTTCCTGGTTCAAGTCAGGACCCAACTTGCAAGTCTGGATGTACTGCAGCTGTCTCACAGCTCATTTGGAGAGGCTAGTGAGCAGGCCATTACAGTAGTCTAACCTACTGGAGACAAGTGCATGGATAAGTCTCTCCAAGTCTGCTTTAGACAGTAAACCTTTGATTTTTGCTGTGTTTTTTAGATGGTAAAAGGCTGCAGATGTTATTGATGTGATGTGGCTGTTAAAGTTCAAGGTTTTAGAGAGAGAGAGATTGGAGGTGACAGCTGGCACTGTATATTTGTTTCTGTGGATCAAAGACTATGACTTCTGCCTTGTCTGAGTTTAGCTGGAGAAAGTTGTTTTGCATCCACACTGATCTGTTGGATGCAGTGGCAAAGTGAGTCCACTGGTCCATAGTCCCCCACTGCCAGTGAGACATAGATCTGAGTGTTGTCTGCATAGTTATGGTAGGACACATTATTGCTGTGTATTAACTGGCCTAACTGCAGCATGTTGTAATTGAACAAAAGAGGGCCCAGGATTGACCCCTGGGGCACCCCACAGGTCAAGACCATGTTATCAGAGACAGTTTCCAATTTCAACAAAATACTTCCTGTCTTCAAGATAGGACTTGAACCAGTTTAGTGCAGTGCCAGAGATGCCCACCCAGTCCTCTAATCTCTGTAAAAGGATCCCATGATCAACAGTGTCAAAAGCAACACTCAGATCTAACAGGATCAAGACTGAGACTTTGTCTGCATCACTGTTCAGGCGGATGTCATTTGCCACCTTGATAAGAGCAGTCTCGGTGCTGTGGTGGGCTCTAAAACCTGACTGGAAAACATCAAAGGAGTTGTTCATTTGGAGAAAGTTAGCAAGCTGTTGTTAAACAGCTTATTCAAGGACTTTTCAAAAAATGACAGATTTGAGATGGGTCAGAAATTGTTTAGTACTGTGGCATCAGGACTGCTCTTCTTTAAGAGCCGCTTAATGACCCGGTATTCAAAGCTCGTGGGAATGTTCCAGTAACTATGTGAGTGAGTGGTGAAAGCAAACAGTTGAGGACGGACTTTAAAAATCTAGTGGGTAACACGTCGAGGCAGCATGTGGATGAACTTAGACTGGTGACAATCTCTAAGACAGTTTTGTCAGTTACAGGTGGAAAGTGACAGCAAAATTTGTGCATACGCCTGAAAGCATCTCACTAAAACCATCAATAAAACTTTGACAGTGGCGAGGAGGTTTGTATATGACTATGTAGAGTGTGGGGGGTGACTATTATAGCTCCATTTTGAAGGAAACCTGCTCAAATAATGAAAACACCCCAAATGAACCTGTGTGTAAACAAATTATCTCTAAAAATGCACACACATCTCCACCCTTTCTGTTTGCTCGTATTTCAGATTCAAATTTGAAAATTGGGAGGGGTTGATTCCACTAGCACTACATTACCTGTGTTTTTGTCAAGTCATGTTTCAGTTAAGAACATAATGTCAAGATTAAAAGAAGAAATACAATCATTAATTTAAAATCATTTGGATTTGGAAGCTATCTTTTGACAGGGAATGTGAACTAAATTTCTGTGATTAGACAGTCTAACAGTCCTTCTGTTAACCCGTCTCCATGTTGTAACTGGAGATATAGCTCCATCGCAGGGCCCTCGATTGATATTACCTTTATCATGACTGTTTGCCCTGGGACTGCAGAGGCCCTGTGCATCCTAGCTCTCTGTGATAACAGCTCAAACAGGGGAGAGTTTGGGTGTGGGACCAGGTGAGGGCTGAGGAGGTGAAGCAGGGAGGAGTTTGGGTGAAAGTTTAGCGGGGATAGCTGGGAGGGTCTTTGGTGAAAACAGGCATGGTTTTGTATGGGGAAAAGTTCAACATAGTTGATTTCAGAACTCTTGACCATATTATATTAGGAGTGGGAGGAGCCATCTTGATTCCTGATCTGACGAGGCTTTCTAGATGGTTGGGAAGGGCCATTGGTGAAGGTAGGGAGGAGAAGGAGAGTGACGAGTCTGTTGTTGGAGTATATATAGGAAAGGGCAACCTGGGCTGGTCTGTAGGCAGGGGAGATGATGGGTGTGGTGCTAGGTCTCTGCTGACGCTGGTGATGAATTCTTCATTGGGGTAGATGGAGGTGGTGATGGTGCTGCTGCTGCTGCTGACTCATTCTCTAGGGCAGGGAGAGGTGGTGGTGCTGACTCGTTCTCTGAGGGAGGGGGAAGTGGTGCTGCTGACTTTTTCGCTGGGGGAGGTGGTGGTGCTGACTTGTTCTCTGGGGGAGATGGTGCTGCTGAATCATTCTCTGGGGGATTGGGAGGTGGTGCTGCTGCTGCTGACTCGTTCTCTGGGGAGGGGGAGGTGATGATGCTGCTGAATTGTTCTCTGGAGGAGGGCTAGGTGGCAGTGGTGGTGCTGTGGGTGGTGCTGACATATTGGCTGATTCTTTGGCTGGCACAGCAGGGATGCTTCTCTCATTCCTCTTTTCTGTCACTGGCTGCACAAGACCCTGTCCAGGCCAGTGCCTCAGAGTGTGGAGGAGGTTTTCTGTCAGCACACTCACTCCACCTCTGCTTAGGTGTGGGCCATTTCCCTCGAACAGATCCTCTCATTTCCAGAAAAGATCAAAGTGCTTAATGTAGTGCAGTCCTCTGGGCACACACACGTTGGACAGCCATGTGTTCAGCTGAAGCAGTCAGGTAAATTTGTTCATCTTCCTTAGGCCTATGTTACAAAGAGGTCCACTGATGATTCTCAAATAATTTTGTGAAATCCCTTTTCATGACTTCACTCTGTTCCATTCTGATGTCCACCCACAATGCACCCACGTGCACAATCAGCTGTTTAACCCCTTGATGTGTTGATAAAACTTTTAGTAGGAGTTTTGTAATCTCGGAAAGAGTGTAAATGGGGTAGCAGCATGTTTGGATTCCTCTGTGGCCCACACCACTGATAGCCCCGTTTCCTAGCAGCAACGTATCTCTGACCTTGACGTTTGGCACAGATTGCCCGTCTGCCTGCACTCTTTTGCCAACTTCTCTGTTCTTGTTCTGCGATGACAATTTTTTTTCTATTTGTACATTAACATCAGTTTGTAAAATCTGTAAAAATCTGTTTGCTATTGTGGGAGATATAATGATATTAGCATTGTCTTTTATCACTTGCTGCGTTGGCTATTGCTACTTGTTGTTTGGCATTATATTGGTACACCATTAAAGTAAAGCCTAATATTAGTGATAACTTGCCTATGTAAGCTTGAAAAGAACCTGTAACACAATGTAAAGAGTTTAAAAAGTAAAGTGGGCAGCTCAAGTTCAAAATCACTCACATTTGCTCCATACTGCAGCCACTTGCCATTGTCATCCTCCCAGTACCAAAGCCAGTCAGTGGTGTGAATAAAGTTTGGCTCCAGAACAGAGTTTATGGTCGAAAGGCGTCTCACTGCATTTTTTCCACTCTTCATTGTGTCAAAATACACAGGAGGGCAGGTGCTACTGTGAGGAGGTATGATAGTTAGTACTCTGTTGATCAAATTAGTAATAATAAAAGTTAATGCTATGACTTCTCTTATTTACGTAATAACATATCCGTATTATATTATATTCTTTCCTTCCTTATACTTCTGCAATTGTATCATTAATGACTCCTTCTATAGTATCTATGTGTACTTTGGCAATTTTGTGAATTCATATAATAACAAGTAATAATAAATAGAAAAAATACACTTTGTAAAATAAAAATAAATTAATCACATGAAATGAATTATTAAAAAAACCCCACTATATTTCATTTACTGTATATGACAACTGCCTCAACACACCAGCAGTTCCTATTAGCAGATATCATTAGTGCTTTACCTGTATGTATTTTCAGGATCACAGTAGGCCTTCTCAATCTTCTCATTATCAGCCATAGGAGTCCACTTGCCATTTACACTGATCTCCCATAAGTATGGCATTTTGACATGAGCTTTGAAACAGCGATCTAAAGGCAAACACATATAGGCAATGCTGAGGTTAAGGTACACTTTATTGACTCGGTAGAGAAATTTGTCCTCTGCATTTGGCCCATCCTGACCCAGTGCCACAGGGGCATCTCCTCAGTGTAGTGCTTGGGGACCCAACTCCATGATCTTACTAGGCTTAGAAAGGACTATTTTAGCTGGAGGATTTTACCCCTGGTCTTTGTTTTGGGCAAAGATAGCAAAGAAGCAAATGGCACACATATAGGCCCAGGAGATTTGGGAATCAAACCTTGCTGGTAAGGGAGAGTGCCAGTCACTCAGCCACTGTGCAAAGGAAAAATACAATATTTTATTTCTCACCTTCATATTTGCAATGTCCCTTGATGAAGAACATGCAGATTTCAGTTTTGTCTATATAAAAAAAAAAATTCATTACATTTTTGTAACATATCATATCATAATCAATCTAAAAGTTGTACAAATATGACATTACCTTTTTGTCCTTGACCTTTTCCTTTTTTGCCCTGTTTTGGATTATGACTTGTATTATCTGACTTTTTAATAACAGTGCAGCTTACATTAGAATCAGAGCTTTCTAGTTCCCGACCACCCCGACCCCTGTTTTGATTGTTGTGTGCTCTTGTGTTAGAATCAGTGTCACAGCAAGAGTTAAGGCTGTCTTGGTTGTTGTCATTATCACAGGTAAGATCTAAACTAGAGGCTGCACGTTTATCACTATCATTATTCACATTTCCGTTTCTCCTGCCGGTTAACTTGTCAGCCAGCCACAGTGCCTGTTTATTTGCATAGACAGATTTTAAAGATCCAAAGAGACATGAAGGGATACGTTTGTCCTGCAGGAGTTTTAGTGGCTGGGGGGCCAGAAAATCGTGTGTCCTGAAGCAGCTGCAGTCAGAACTGAGGAACTTCTCACAAACGTGCAGTCTCAGGCAGGTGTCCCCACATCCATTACGGTTATTGTAATTATGGCAGATCTTAAAGAAAAGAAACACAGAAAGTGGTAACAGTGTTAGAAAAAAGTACATTACAATAAAGGCTTTTTATTTTTAGCAGCAGGAAGAAGAAGGCCTGAATTGAATCAGTTAGAGTTATGGGAGTGACTGGTTGAGTTATTCATTTATTTATTTTTACATATAAAACTGTGGCTACGTAGAGTACTTTTCTGCAGAGCGGTTGTTGAGCAAACTCACATAAGCTTGTCACCTTGTGAGTGCATTTTGGGTCAGGTACATGGTCAGAACATAGACAGCCTGTACTCATCCACTCTTTACAGTCCGCATTTGCATAGTACAATGTGCATGCATTTATTCTGACAAGTAACTTGGCCCGGTGTTGTCACCTACTTGTCTTCATGGGTATTAGTTAAATGACATACTGTCGAACAAAGCCATAATAGCTATCTCCACTGAGAAAAGATGAAAAGCTCATCAGAAAAGTTACATATTGCTCATTTTAATTTATTATCTAATTATTTAACTAGGTTCATGTACCAAAGGAATATTAAATAGTAACCATTTATTTACCGGTACTATGTGATGTATTAGTTATATCTAAAGGCAGCCATACATACAGAGGGCAGGAGATTGTTGTTGCTCTGGAGCAGCAGGAGGCACAGCTGGGCTCTGGACAGTGTTTCAAGACCAAACTCAGTGAGGATCTTCTTATTGTAGCCTGAGCAGAGGTCGTGGGAGAATATGCATCCTCTCCTGCAATATAAGGCAATAGTAGAGTCATATCTGATACAGATAACAGATATGCTAACCCTGTCTTTTACGTCTATAATAATGTACGTCTTGAATATCGTTGAATTTCAATTAGATTTAAAAAAAAAATATTTCCCAACATATAAAGTAGTCAAAGTTGCAAGTTTGTTTTTGCCAGGCGCCTGCCCCCTTCCACTCCCTTCTGGCTAAAACAAACACATGTGACCACCATAAAGTGACATGTGATAAGAGGCGTTACTGGTGGCTTGTATCCAAAATTGTACTATTCTTTAATTAACTTTTTTTAGTCGTCACTGCAGGTGGAAGTTTTAAACAAACTTAAACCTCGGCCTACTTAAAATTAAATAGACCATAGACACTTGTGGTCAAGTGACACTACTCCCTACATGCAAAAAATCAACTAAATATTATAACCTATGTAAAACAATATAATATATAATAGATATATACTAGGTATATAATAGATAGACGCAGTAAGCCCTTTGCGTGGATGGGCTAATGATTTTAACGCGAGTACTAAATTGCGTATGAACCTGACACGATTTTGGCCTCTACAGTGAACGGTATAACTTCATAAAAAGTGACTTGACAGTAGTATTGAGTACATGCATCTGCTTACTACACAGTAGTCTAATTACCTCGTATAAGTATACTGACAAGAGTCCGTGAGGAGAAAGCTCTTGCACAGGTGTAGGGCCCCACAGCCCGGACAGTCCTTGCGCCAGCAGAGCCTCACTGCGCTCCGAACGACTATCTTCGGCGTCCCATTTAATAAACATGTCACAAACTTATCGTTCTTACAAAGGATCTCTGAAAGTGTTGAAGTGTTGCACAAATTAAACAGCAGGTCCGAAGTGATCACAGCTCCCTGATTGTCCAGAATATATTTCAATATATCCGTCTCCATTGCTAGATGCGAGCTACAGGAGTTTCTTCATGAGAACAACTTGAATCCGAGAACCATATACGTAAAAACCAGGAAAGGATCACTTATGATGAATGGAAACCGAAACTGAAAAGATATAAGATATATGCAGGTCTAAGTAATCTCCACAAGGGGGAGCGCTCACCTTATGATGTTGGAAGGATAATGACTAGCGGTAGTAATGTACACAGCAGTTGGCTGCTCTATAAATAAAGTGTAGATATGTAAAATAAATTAAAAAAATTAATTAAAAATAAAAAAGTGACATTATCCAAATACTTTTACGATTATCTAAACTGAGATGACTAAGATATAGGAAATGACAAAAATTCCTTCAAACCAATAAAAAAATAAATTATAGAAAATGGTGCAGATTTTTGCACTGTGCAACATAGCCAACACAGACCCCAACCAAAGAAAAATTTTGCTGATAAGTATTCTTCTCTTCTTCTTTTTCTTTGATTGTTCTCAAACTCCTCACACCAAAATGTTAAAGTTGCATTCACTTGCACACACGCGCATGTCAAAAATAAAGCTGGGCTAGACAAGGGCCACAGTTTGAGACATATCTGAATGGGAGGGCAACCAGTAGTCAAAGCAGGCAATGAAGAGTGAGCACATAAGATCATACACCAGCAGGGGACCTGAGGGTCAACAAACACTGGTCATTGGAGGCCATGACTAAACCAGAACTAGAACAGGAAGGACCTCATCAGGACAAGTGAAAAAGTATCCCAAGTCAGGATTCAGGGAAAGCTGAAAAAGGACCCAGAGGACCACTAGAAGTCTGAGCATCACTTATTGCCAATCAAAAATCTTCACAAAAACAAACAATGAGCACATCTTTTTGATAATCATTAGCTCTATTTAGCTTCTTGCATACACGGATGAATAACTGGCAGTCTATTTTCCTTTCTTATTGCTTCCTGTCTTCCCCTCCCAGAAACACAGGATCAGCTCTCGATGAAAGAGATTTTCCATCAGTCATTCCCACCATCTGCTGTCAGCTTCTCTGGCTCTTAGTCTCCACACAGTCTTTTTTGGGGCCTATCCCTATCCAGATAACCAAAATGTAGACCCCAACAGTATAATGTATGTGCTGACCTATGCTGGCCTAAAAACCTGACTTTGTAGAAACTGTTTAATTAGGTCTACTACTTACTTATTACGGCAGCTATTAAAGGCAGATGTGGACAACACTGATGTGAACAATGAATACTTTTTCTTGTGTCTGTAAGTTAAGCTTTATTCATACACAATAACAAACATTACCTAGGGAGCATGTTAGGTTATCTGCAATATATCCTGTACTCCCAAATAAAATATATATGAAAATATGAAAATGAGTAGGGCACATTAAGCAAATAGTCTACTCTAGTAAATATTTAACTTCTCTCAGTCACTCCTCTTTTTAAATAATAATAGTAATAATAATAATAATAATAATAATAATAATAATAATAATAATAATAATAATAATAATAATAATAATAATAATAATAAATTTAAGACAAATCTGAAAACTACACCTGCAGACTGCTCCACAACACCGCCCTGTTTGTTTAACCACATTTATTGGGTCAACGTAATGAAGAAAAAGAAAAAAAAACACTCGCAAACTGCTTCCCTGTCCGTCATCTGTCTCTCCGCCTTGTGCTGCAACACGACCTGCCGCGATTTCCTGCTTCGGGTTTCCCTTTAAAAGGGGGCATGGCTCGTTGCTGGGAATTCACGTCATTTCGCCGTTTACACACACATCCAGATCAATGAGCGCGGGAGAGGGAGCTGTGGTGCGCTTCCAGGAAGGGATTATTATTAACGCGCGCACGGCAGAGCTGCTGCGACGGGAAACGCACAGAGACAAAAGAAGTTTCCTAATCGATAGCTCCGCCATGGAGACAGCCAGTACATTGAAAATACACGGGATTGCAAAGGAATAAACTTCTCTGTCCGTAACAAGTCGACAGTCGTTAGTGCCATCGTCGAAGGGCTTGTTTTGGTCAAGAAAAACAGGGATAGAAAGACGAGGAGGACCGCGGAAAAGTGAGGAAGGAGACGCGGTGAAGTTGACGGAAGATAATGTCTGAATCCTCCCCCGTTGTGGCCAAGGTAACAGGCTCGGTTCGCTCTTTGTTTTCCTCCAGCACACATTTGCACACGCTGGGGCACTGCTGTAACGCACGGCGGGCTACATTTGCAGGCTCGCCTCCTACAGATGTGCACACTGTAGCGCGCTTGTTTGGACACTCATCTGTTGCTCGCCTCCACTCCACTGAGAAAGCTCTGCTGCTGTTGATGTCGTGACGGTGGCACACACAATGTTCCCTGAAGCTGATTTGGAATAGCTTGGCACTCTGGAAGTACAGATCCATTCTTGGCACACATTTGAATCCACTCAATTTGATGTACTTAATTTACACAATAGCGTAGGTATTGAACCCAAAAGCTACTATACAACAACATTATTATGACAGCTTACCGGGTTGACACCTACATTTTATTGTTCTTGCCACTGTCATTGAAGCTTTTTTGCACTGACTTTTCTAGCATTTTAGAGGAGTGCATACAGTGTCAATGAACTGGATATTGAAATATTATTCCTGATCAAAAACGCTGTGTCTATTTAAATGAATAATTCAACAGTTCATGGCAGCGAGAGGATCATATTTTGCTGGTAACAATCTTGTCCTTCATTCAGCTGATTCAAATGTGTGTCTTATAGTTTGTTAACCACTGCAAAACACAATGTTAAACATGTTCATTCAATAGGTCTAAAACTGAACTTGGGTGCAATTTTAATAATATTGATATTACTGCCTTGGGGTAAGATATAGCCATACTCACAATAAAAAAAAAAAAAAGAAAATCTTGCACAAAGACTATTTTCAGTTCCTCTTGCATTACTTTTTCATATATTAAATGTGTCATATTTTCCAATAATAAGTCAGAAAGTCTTAATTGCGTTGTATATGCTCCATACAGGCAACTGTAGCTTTTTTAAATAATAAAATATTGCTGCAGAATTGAGAAGCAGCTATACAGAGCTATACATTTTTTTTTTTACAAAGAATGTATTGCTTCACTTCTTCATTTCCACAGGAAATTTCTGGTTCAAAAGCCAGTTTGTTTCCTTGTTTGAGATAAAAGTGAGGAACCTCACAAATGACCAAGTTGCGTTTATAATCTTACATGGACAGGCAAAGAATGAAATTGAGACATGCAGACGTGACGTGGTCACCAGGAATGAGGAGATATCTGAGCTTAAAACTACAGTTCTGTTTGTGTATCAGAGCCGTGTAGCACAAATGTATCATACACACATGTATAATGAATAGCCATGTGATCTAAACATTATGTTTCTCTGGTTTTGTGTTTATTTCTAAAGTAATGATGATGTCACTAACACTGATCTCACCAAACTTGAAAACTGTGTTTACGCAGCGCATATTCCTAATTTCCGTGAATCTTTTTTTTTTTCTGGATGGAGGTGAATGTAAGAAAAAAACTACAGCTTTGGTATGGAGTAACTGCATGTTTGACAACTTGAGCAGGATCAAAGGTTTTCTAAATGTAGTTATTCATTGTAAAGGTTTGTTGTAGTCTTAAGCCAGTCAAAGTTTAGAAAAGAAAAATATGCATTGGTTATTAAGAATAACTAATCTAAATAATCTAAAGAAGAACTAATCTAAATCTATTTTAAATTACTAATGTGTGCAAATTAGGATTTGAATTGTGTAAATGGATTGCAATTTGCAAACATATTCATTATGTCATTATCCAAACATCATGATGTGTACAGATGTCTACAATAATATTGCTCTCAATAAAATAACCTTACAATTATTAAGATGCTGTCCCAGAAGTCAGGAGGTGGGATGAGTGGACTGTCATTGCTGTTTGGGTTCACTGCTGCTGCATTGGGATCTATCTGAGCCCTGTTTGTGTCTCTGTGTCTATTCATAGCAGGAGAGGAGCTCTTTCAGTCCTTCCGCAAACCCGCTGCCAAACTCCACTTCCTCCCCCGTCCATGCTCCCGCCTCGAGGCCAGCCAGCCGAATGGAGGACGAGCCCAACAGGCTGCCGGCACACCTGCGTGAGTCACACCACTGCACACACTTCCACTTGGGTCCACTGGGATAAGGCTTTTCAATTGGGGTCAACTGTATATTAAAACTGCAGAATGTACATGCCTTTTTATATGAATGTGCATTATAACCTCATTATAACCTGTGGAATTTAATGTAAATTTATGTTTGATTTAAACTTAAGCCTTGTAAACAGATTGCATTTTGAAATTAATAATAAAGGATGATGCCTAAATTTTGGTCCAAATGACTCATAATGTTACCATGAGTTGTTCTGGTTGTATTTTAATAGTCTATAGATTGTATCGCACTGTTTAAATTATGTAAACTGTATAAAAAGCATGTAGATCAAAAAGTAAAGTTATAATCATGTCTAAGGCAATGTCCATGCATTGATCACTATTCCTGGTCTAGTCAAGTCAAACCTGATAATATGTGAATAATAACTGAATTTTGTGTGTGAAGAGTGAATGGGCATCCCGGTCAGAAGCATCAGAGAAGTGAGAACATGAATAAGTAAAGATGTTGTGGATTATCACTTTAAAGTCCATCATGTGCAATTTGCGTATACTTCGTCATGTCATATATATATATATATATATATATATATATATATATATATATATATATATATATATATATATATATTTTATTGGCTGTTTGTCTTAAAACCCCAACATATACAGGTATTTTGATGGGACAAACGTCTGACTAAAGCTTTATTTGAACACTTGAGTGCAAAGAGGTGCATAAAATGCGGCTGCACTGCACACTGTACCTATTACCTGTTGTCTAGTCTAAAGTGACTATTACATAAATTATATTTGTATTATTATTAAATTCACAAATGTGTGGATATGTGTTGTACCTCTCTAAGTTTATATTGGTTCATTATTGCTCAACCAATCCCAGAGCAGGTGGGGCTGGAATACTGCCAGGAGATAGATAAACCTGTCCAAAGACTAAACTCCTACAACTTTCCATTTGTGGGTCAATAGTTAACTTTGTTGTTTATCTTTTCCAATGTGAAGGAGAAGTTCAGGGCTGTGGATGAGGCACAGGAAACCCCCTCAGTCCACTTCCTCTTTACATTGTTACAGAAAGAGGAAGTAGCCTCAACAGGTCCGCGTTCAGTTTCCTGATCAGTGAGCCTTGGGTCGGATCACATCCACTCTATGGTGGAAGTCCAACACGGTGGTTTTACAGACAGTAAATGTACTGAGATTTACTTAATACCCAATTGCTTGCCATTTGTAGCCTGCTCAAAAAAAGTAACAATGTAATAATTTTAGGGATAGACAATTATCGGATCATGAAAAAGTCATGAATCATTTTCCTATCACCAGGTCCCACCCCCTTTTATATTTATTTTCCTAATCAAATAAAAAAATGAAATTTTATTGGCCCTTTTTAATGTTTCCTCTTCTTAAACTCTCGGACCTATGGCGACGTTTCTTTGAGTTGAAAATCCACCTCTGCTTTCCGTTCCTTGGCTTTTATCCTCAACACCCACACTTACACATCCGTACAGACACTTGAGTCCAGAGGGAGGAGTGGGAAGGAAGAGAGAGGAGAGGACAGAGGGAAAAGAGCCAGAAGAAGAAAAAAATGAGGCAGGAAATTGCAGTGTGGGCAGAAGTCTCCATTTCCTGTAGAGGAAGTGGATTAGATCAGGGAGAAACTTGCAGCCTTCTCCTCTCAGAATAATGACACTATTTAACCATTTTAGACATTATTACCCGTTCAATCACTCATTCAACAAAGCACGAAGCAAAAATTGACTCCTTCTTTTGTCACTGGAGTGCCTTTGGATGTGAATTCATTACTTATGGGTCTCTTTTTGGTTTCTCTTAACAATTAGGAATAGGTTACCATAGTAATTTGCATGATTCACAGCATCAGTAGCTACAAGGCGTTCATTTGTCTTTTGTTTTAGTTTGAATTGAACTCAATAATATGTCTGGACTTGTCACACCCATAGTTTAAAGCTGATCTGAGTGGAATGCTTGTATTATTTGAAAGTGTGGCACCGTAATCCTGCTTTGTTTTCCATGAATACACATGAGTTACAATGAATAGTTTGTCTTGCTACTATCTAGATGTCTTTAGTGAGGAGTTAATAGAAGCCATGGAAACAAGATGGGCTGGTTTCCTTCATTGTTGGCATGTGTGTGTCTTGTCTCTGCACAGCTGGCTCGGCAGGCTTCAGTGGGTGGAGGAGTGAGTAAATCTTTGTGTGAATCCGCAGCTTGTGTAGGTGTACATTGTATATGCAATTCATTCCACATGTGCTACTGTGTTACTGAAAGCTAATCTTTTGTTTTCTTTTCTGTCACTGCACATTAACCACTTTGCATTTTTATGCTATTTCAAAGTCTGGGTTTATGACTTAAACATGCAAACTATGGCAATGTAGTTTGTTGTTCTCACCGGGCATCTTAAATCTTTTAAACGTCCACTACGAAACTTTTTTGGTGGACGGTACACCACCTGCTTGTCGCCATGAAGATGAACTAATACATTCTTTAAAATGTTAGCTGATTTCTTTGAAGTAACATAATAGACAACAGGACATACTTACAGTCTTGCGTTCTTGTAATAAAATATATTGAGTGTCATGAGGAATTTGCCACGTTCATGCTCCTAAAACATCCATCCTGTTTCATGTGTATGTGACACGACCCTTTGAGGACACTGTACTTTACAGTGGATACATTTAAAGCCTTAGATTTAAAAAAAAAAATGCTGAAACTGCTGTTGAAATTCAGTCTTGTTATGGTTTATAGGCCTCCAGGAAATGAATCCATCTCCGTGTTATATCCTCTCACAGATGGAGTCCAGCATGTTGTAAGTGTTTGGAGTTTTTTGGAGGGGAAATTTCCTGCCCCTGGAAGCGGCTCTTGTCCAGAGGAATTTCCTGAGTAGGCAGACGGGGCTTCCTGAATAAATGTTGCCGTTGGTGATGTTGTGTGCGTGTTTCTGGTCTGAAAGAGAAACTGTTCACACATGGCACAGCCCCCTCTTCTCCCAGTTTCAGACTCACCACATGGTGCTTTCAAAGTCTTTCCATCTAGTGAAGTCTTTTGGAAATCAGGTCTTGTGTTTATCTGGTACTCTTGATAAGTCTTAAAACAGTTTATAAATAAAGCTTACATATTCCCAAACTTCTATACCCTGCATAACGCTCAAAGTTCCTGGTATCTTACAGATCCCAACTTCCCAAACTGAAATTGACCGGTAATGATTTTAAATGGGCAAAACATTTTTAATCAGTTTTCATATTGTTTATTGGAATTGTTTGTTTGCATTATCGACTTAATTAAAAATACAGTTTTCAATTAAATCATAATAGATTTAGAATTTTTTTATCTTGAAATCCTCTCATGATCTCAAACTCGGTACCTTGTGACCCCCACAATTTAGATCCTATTTTGCACATATATTTATTTTATATCTCTATTGAATTCTTGCTTTTGCGTGGGTTGTGCTGCATTTCCAACCACAATGGACAGGTTTCATTCTTTTGCCCTTTACTCTGGTTTTGTAAACACAGCATGACCGTTTGACCTTTCCTAAAATACACTGATACACAAAATGAGTATACAGTATACATATATAAATATTTTTTTTTTTTTTACCAATATTGAACAATAACAGTTTTTGATTTATGGTTTCATATAAGAAACAAATCCATATGACCATTGGACCAAGTATTTCATATGTCATGAAAACCTTGTCACGTTGTTTATTATTAGAGAAATTTGAATGACGGCGGGAAACAATAGTTGCTTTAATGAGAGGCAGTTTGCTAATATTCTGGCTTGACTTTCTCCTTGTGGAAAATTTGACTCACAAGTTTGGTTTGTGGGATTGAGACCAACAAACAAATGCATTTCAAGCATGTACATATTGTAGTAGTTGAGGAAGTAGAAATAGAAGGAAAAAAACTGGCATGGGAACAAAAGGAAGAGTGTCAGTTAGAGGCAAATTCAGGAACTAAGTACAAGAGTCGGCTTGTTCCTGCCCCAGCCACTTATCAGAAACAGGTCGAGCCACTTCCTGCTCATAACCGTGTGTGTGATTGATGAGCTGCTTAATGTTTGTTTTGACTGGACCAAGTCCAGTTGGGCCGGACGGGGCGGGCACGTGCACACCGGAGGAGGAAGCAGTGGACAAGAGAGTTTCACTGGACAAAAAAATATAAAGGTGGCTTTTCCGCCCTCACCCCTCCCACCTGTCAGTTACTACCAAGAATCACACACTCATTAATGTTGTAAAAATTATTCATCCAAGAATAAAGTGAGGCGGAAGAGTCTGAATGTCTTACACAGAAAAAGTGAATTTACCATCGATATAGCAGACCCTGAGAACCGCATTCTTCACAATGTGGGAGTATTGGCCATTCAAGTCTGACCATGCTTCCATTGTAGGGTGCATTTTAAACTAATCTTTGATGACGTAGGTTAGATAGATATTGGCATCACTTAACAGTTAAAATATGCCCTTTTTTGTGATAAAATATGTGTGCAGTGGTGTGTGTGTGAATGCCACAGACTGGCAGGCAAGCTTCCATCAGTCTACCCTAGGGCAGCTGTGACTACAGAAGTAGCTTACCACCAAAGAACGGGGAGTAAACAATCAATGCAATGTAAAGCACTTTGAGTAGTTTCAAAGGCCCTACAGCATTATTTATTTTGATCAGACAGTTTGGTCTTGTGTAGTAGGTGAATTGCTTGACTTGCAATTGAAAATGCAGCAACTCCTTTTCACAAAGTCTTTCCAATTATGCAATATAATTATCTGTGCTTATTTGGCCCATTTAGTGTATTATTAAATGTCTGCAATACTAGCTGTTATTGTTCAGTTGATCATTATCTACTCCATGTGTTGTGACCATTTTGATTGATTTTGATTATATTGCCTTAAATTCTAGACTGAATGTGGAGAAGGCCAGTGCCCTAGACTGAAGAGTCACAGGTCATCACCACGTCACCTCTTCCTCCGTCCT